GGTGCACATTCTCGAATATCTCCCCAAGTGCACCTACGAACTTGCGTGAAAATCACGCAGCTAGCAGACGCTTGCGTGAAACTACGCCGGAAACGTGAAAAATCTCAGTCGCTCCAAAGCTGATTCAGCTGAAAAGAATAGTATAGCCCCACGGCGGCCTGTTATTGGCTGTTGCATACAGTCAACTGCTAAAACACTTGCACTCACATACACACACAACTCTTACCGCCCCGTTCTATCATATTGGCAAGCCACACCCCCGCTAATCTCGCTTCTATTCACTCTATCCGGTCTCAATTCTCTTCTCCTGCTCTCGGGGAGGCTCTCTGAATTCCATATTCACCACGATACATCGTCCTCTATCACTCTCCCTCGACAGACGCTCTCGCACACACAGACACACACACGCAACAGGTGTCATGTGTGTTTATGCTTTCTTTCGCGAGCGTAAGCGTGTGTGTGAGTGTGAGTGTGTGTGTGATTTTTGCCTGCGCCAAGCGAGACTACAAAGACAAACCGGATATAAATGCCGGCTCGAACGGTCGTTGTGGCTGCGGAATGTTTTGCAGAACCACCCTGCCTTCGTACTCGCGCTTGTTCGCGCTAGTACACTGCTGAAAAGCAAAGTCGGTTTTCTTTTAAAAGACTCTAAAATGAGAACTGAAAATACAACAGGTCCTTCTCAGTGCAGACAGAACCTTCGGAAGATCCCTTTTGTGCGTCCTGGCTGGTACGTGTGGAAAGGATGCGTGTCACAAACGGAATAGGCCAAAACGTTTCGTCTACACTTACAAATTTTGCCTGGTATTAAAGTTGCTGGAATTGTAACCAATAAACGACTCTTAAAAGCTTTTTTTTTTTTAAATAAACAATGTCCTTTCTTTGAGCCGCCGTTTGCTCGTCGGAGTGTCGCCTCGAGACCATGGTCAGTGCACTGACCGAGCCGGACCGAACCTTCGGGGTCGTGTGGCGCCTGACGCGGTGGCTGCCTGGCTCCGCCTGTCTCACCGGGGTGAGTCCGGCGGCCAGCCCTGGAGAGAAGGGTTCCCAAACGATGCCCGGGGACGGCCCCGCCTGCTGGGCACTCATTAAACTTGGACCTTGTCCAAAAGGTTTGCGAAGAGGGGGGGGTGGTAGTGTGGGGGCTGGCGTCTAGCTGGGGGGAGGGACCAAATGTGAGGAATGGGGGGAAAGAAGGTAAATATCACTGTTTTGAAAAAATGGTTTGTACATTAACGAGAAATCACTGATATTTTTATTAAAACAGCAAGTGCCTGTGCATTTGAACCAGGCAGGGCTTAACCTGAACTGAGTTTTATATTCCGTATGTTTACAAATGTGTTCTATAAATTTGTTTTTTTTTTGTTGTTTGTCATTGACTTTAATATAATTTTCCCCATGGATTTTTCTATGAATGTACATAAGCTACTCTGTTTTACCGATCTTGTAAGTTTCTCTTGCAAGTTTTCAATATTATTTCACATTGATACAAAAGTTGTGTTGGTTTCTAGTTTTAAAAAGGAATTGAATTTATTTTCTTACTTTGGGACCAAGATGAAAGTGGAGTATGCTGTATGTTTTTTAAACCATGTCCCATTTCGTTGTGTGGGGAATATCTCCTCCTAGATTACTGGTTTGCGTTCCGCGTGGGAGTGCGCGAGACAGGGCCGGGCTTGAGGACCACATGTCGGGAGGGATTTAGCGGGCATTATGTTGGGGAGGACGTGGAGGGGGACGGGAGAGTGGGGGAGGAATATGGATGGATACATGGCGTGCCTGGAGATGAATGCAGTGTGGTGGCAGAGTGCATTACCATTTCGGACACATCTCCCAGGAATTACTACAACATCCGAAAACGGCGCCCTGGAGGCCATTTTCGCTCCCCCTTTCTCATTGTGCGTGCGTGGGCGGAGCGGGTGGGCGTGGCACATGTCGAGTGAGTGTGCGAGCGAGAGCGAGGTGTGCGGATAGTCTGGGGCAGAGAGAGAGAGAGCGAGAGAGGCGGGACCGGGGGTATGCGCACGATCAACTTTATGACAAACTCTGTGACTATCCTCAATGACACTCCATTCAACTTACTGCGTACCAGAGGCCGTGGGGAGCGTGGAGGATGGGGGGTTTGAAAGTGGAGGACCAGCTTCTCTAGCCACTTCCGAGCACCTCTTTTCCCCCGCCCTCTTATTTTACTGGAAAGGAAGACGCCAGAAGTGGGGAAAAATTGTTGCGGTTTAACAAAATGTGTATTATGCAGGAAATGTGAAAAATCATCCTTGCTCCTTGCTCCCATTTATGTGATTATTTTTTATTTTGAAAAATGGGTTTTGTTGAATTTTGCTGCAAAGTTGTTGAAGGTGTGTCGTTATTTTCAACGGTGTTTCGGCAGCGACTGGCCGGACCCTTGACCCGGCCCGGCGGCACTGCCCTCTCGTCCGTTCCTTGGCCCGGGCCTCGCGACAAAAGCGCCCCAAAGCAACTCCCTATTCACTGCAGGTCAAGGTGTTTTAAAAGAGAACGTTGCATTTTTTACCCCTAAAACTTCAAACTATGCCCTCCTTGTTAAGACAGTCATGGCTCTTAAAGTAGGCTCTGATAAGGAAACGTTTATTATGTCCAATGGGACAATAACAGTTGTTTTGTAGCGTTTTCTTAAAATGGGGTGAATGTGCCATATAGTTCTTTCTCGGGAAACTTGTCAAAAGTTGCCTTACCAGGCCAAACACCGAAACGGGTGAAAATATTATGAAGCCAATAAAAGGCGAGCATCTCTCCACTTGTATGCCATGTCAGGCGCTGTCTCTTCATTGTATCTGAAGGCGTGTCTTGTTTATGCGCGCCAAAGAAAGGTCCGGAGGAAATAGGGGAAGGGGGAAAAGAAGGAAGGGTCGGGAAGGTGAAAGGAGGGGAAGGGTGGATGAGAGCTCTGTTGGAGGACCGCAGCAGCGGGAACAGAAACCTTAACAAGGTTGAGCAGAAAGGATTGGTTGATATTCATAGAGGGCCGACCTTTCGGTCTCCTTCTCGTGAGCGTAAGTGGACTTGAGTCTCTCTGACTTCCGCGCCGGGGCCTCCCTTTGTGTTCTAGACACCGTCATCAGTACGTTTTCGTTGTTTCCTTTTTCCAAATTTCAAATGGGTCATTTCGCTAATACTCGCTAATACCTTCGATCGGAAAAATAAAGCATACTTGAAACACTTGACAAACCCGAAACGGGAACGGGACACGCTGCTCGTTTTTATTTGAAATCCCCTCGTGATTGTATCCTCCTGGTTCACACTTCTTTACATCCTCTCGTCTCGTTTTTACCTATATTCGACTTTGTAGACCACTATAACATACGGCGCACGAGCCAGTGGATGGAGGATCTCACTGCCTAAGCCGCCATCCTCACGGAGGCAGGCTGGAGGCTAATGTATTCGCGGCTAATCAGGCCGCTGTGTGTAAGCCCCACGAGGGCTGGAGGATGGCCGAGCAAGGCCCCGCTGTGGGTGAATGGGGCTTTGATGACGAGAACTGTCTGCACCGTCCTCTCACCAGCACCTCTAGCCTTGCCAGCAGACCATCGTGAAGAAGAGTTTGGTACTTGAACGTTATATTTTGCTTCGATAAATAAAGTGTTCAACTGGCGTGCACATGGACGTGCTCAACACTTTGTTGACACGTTCAAGTGTTTGACTGGGTTTTGAATACTATAAAGTTTTTAACAGTGAAGTTGAACACCTAGAAGAGTTCAACATCAGGGTTGGCTGTGAAGCTTTGGACACTTTAAAGTGTTCAAATTTACTGTTGAACACTTCGAAGTATTCAATTCACCTGTCAAACCCTTAAAAGTGTGCAACATAATGTGGAGCACGTGCAAGTCACGCCAGTTGAACACTTTATCATCACTTAAGTCGAAAACTTGATGCGTGACATTCATAACTTAATTTTACTTTCCCTATGCCAGCATCCATGCGTAGTGTGCATTTTTTTTGGTCTTTTTTCAACCTCTGACCCGGCGAGCTCAGGTTGCCCCCGTTCGTCCCCGCGAGGCACACTCACAGAGCGGCTCCCGGCGCGGCACCGAAGCTATATCGCTCCATCCAATAAAAAAATGAGGCAGATCCGTTGGCGTCTTGCGCCGGCCTTGCGGGCGCGCGGTATGGTGTCGCTCGCCGCGGGGCACCGCCACCCCCCGCCCCACCCTCGACCCGGCCCGGCCCGGCTTAGACGATACACGTCATCTCGGGACCCTGTTGAGAGCAAGAGGGGCGGGGGGTGGGGGAACTTGCGATAGCTGGTAGCGTTAGAAGGGAAAGGAAAGCAGAAGAAAGGAACTGCGTGTCAAGTAGTTAGCGCCTGGGAGGTGGGCTCCGGCCGCTCCGTGGTGTACGGTGGGCCCGCCTCCCTGCAGGGCGCTCTGCATGCATATTGTCAGTCGCATTTCCTCAGAAAACAACGCGGAACCTCCGTGCAGTGTGCAACATGTCTCTCGAAACCTTTAGCTTTTTATTTACCCTCGTTCCTCCCTCCCCCCTCGGTGCAAGTCTCAAGAGTGGGATTACAACCCCCTTAGCCGCTTTGGACGCGTGTGAACCCGAGAAGCCGGCGGGATAGTCTCTTTGGAGGTCTCTTTGGAGGTCTCCATCTGTCAGTGATGACCTGCGGGCCCCACTTATCGGCAGAGGGCGATCACCTCCACCCTTCCACCTTCCACCCTCCCCTACATCTTTCCTGCTCCCCCTCTTCCGCTGCGCCCCGTTTTTCCTTCCCCCCTCCCCTCTTGCCGTCCTATCATCTTGTGGCATTTGCGGGTCGAGGCGGGGCGAGGGTAGCGTTGGAGCCGACCGAAATGTGTCACATATTAGAGTAATGGGGGTTCAAAACGTGACAAGAAAGGGGGAGGGACAAGGGGGAGCGGTCGCTCCTGCTAGCGGCCAGAGGAAAAGAGGGGGGGGGGGAGCGCCCTGTTAGGAGAATTCACGCTGGAGTGGCCTGGGGTGGGGTTGTCTCTGAAAGAATCCTAAGGAAACCGCCCTATCTCTATAAAAAAAAGAAGCAATAATACAAATAAGAAAGTAGAACAGTTTTAAAAAGGTTACACGCTTTGGTAGACTTACCTATGTCGGGGATGTCTTTCTCATGATCCATCCATTCGGAAAACTGCAACACAACAAAAGAGAAGAGACGTGTCAAGCTGGTTGATCAGTGCGACTGCTCGCTGCACTCATCGGGGGCAGTCCCATTCAAACAAAAAAATTCTTTTCTGTTTTAGTTCCAGAGTTTCCGGATAGGTCGCGTCGCTCTGTTCTTCATTGGCGAACTCAGTTTTGTCTGAGTCTAAAAGAGCTGCCTGCCGTGGCGAAGATCGGAGGAGAGGCTTTAATTTTGACGATGGTAATCCGCGACCCACGCGGGGCTTGTTGCAAAGGTAGGCGAGGTGAACGTGGATCGAGTAAATGGGAGAGAGCAAAAGTAAAGGGGCGATGGACAGACTGAGCACCAGGGCGATAAAAAATTGAAAATAAACGGGGGGCAAGGGGGGGGCAATAAAAAGTAAAAGTAAGAAAGACTATGGGGTGGTTGGCGCCTGATTGTATTGCTCTCCCGAGAGGTTCGCTCACTGCTGCTTGTGTTTCTCGTGGCTTTCGCGCCCGCCGCTCCGCCCGCCCCTCTACCCCCGAGGACGTCAACATGCCAAAATGGCCGACGTGCTTCTCGAGCTATTTGCTTGTCTTTTCAAGAGCGAGCGAGAAAGAGACGGGCGAGAGAGTGTGTGTGTCCCTGTGTGTATGCGCGCGCGCGTGTGTGTGTGTGAGAGAGGAGAAGAGATATGGGAAGGGGTTGATGCGTTGTGCGCGTAGTGTTCATGCTGCTCAGTGGGCTGTGTTCGGAGTGCACATGCCGACTCACCGTCTATCCATGAGTGTGGGACAGAGAAAGAGTAAGAGAGAGAGAGAGAGACGGCTCACAAAGGCCCACGCGGTTGCGCTTGTTGGGAGAGTCCAGACTCCGCTCGTCGTCTCTAATGAGATCAACCACTGTGGAGCGTCGTGTTGAGCCGCTTGTGTCTCCAACTCCTTTTGGAAACTTGCTGCTCAGATCTCTGCTCTTATCTCAAGTGACCCACAAAGAAACACTACGAACATCAAATAGAAGCAATTTTTTTCATCAAAACATAAACGTGTTTCTTCCTAAACTCAGGTCTTGATTGGTTTGGATCTAAGTAAATACTAATTTATTGAGACTTCATACATTTTTGCTTTGGAGGCGATACAGTACCTACACTGTTATTTAAAGGCGTCCCGTCAGAGTGCGACAAAGG